GCTTCTTCTCTGCTGCCACGTGTCCCATCATGGAGCAAATTTCTTCCACTTCTTGTATAACTTCCCATGATCTTCACAATTGTTGGTAACTACTCCTTGCTACAGCACTCTTTTTCTTTGCAAATAAACCACGTATCCTACATCATCTGCGTGCCTTATCTCATGACTTGACACCTGGACCACGTTTGGCCCCATTTCATCGTGTTATTAGAGGAATCGACAGAAGAAACTGAGTTTGCCACATCTGTCCCTTTAATTGCGTCACTTAGCTCTACATTCAAGGGTCCATCTCCCACTGGAAACTTATGCTTTTCACCTCTAGCATCTCTTGGATCAACTCTTTGTATTTACTGTAGCTATTCGACAGAGATGATAAATTTTAGTGCCAACAATGCCCCCCTCATTTAAGACAAAAAGATGTTTTTGCTTTGAATGAATGTCAGACAGGACAAAATAAAGCTTGGACATTTATATATTTGAGCGATGCATTTAGGCTTATAAAAACGAGGCCACAAATCGAAGCCCAAATATTTAAAGTAACATCCAGATGTTAAAATAATCATGAATTCAAAAAGGCCCAACCATCAAGCCCAATTGTAAGTGACAGGCCCAAACTTAATTAAGAGGGTCCACTATAGGCTATATAAACATCAGAATTCAAATCATCACTTCGCCATTCTCATGCCTTCTGCTCTACTCTGTTCTTCGCCTTCCTCTTTGAAAACCCTTTTCATTGCTTGTACATTCCAATGGCACCGAAGCGAGCTCAGGCCAAAGGAAAGAAACAAGTAGAGACTCCATCCGCGAAGCGATTTCCAACTAAGTTCCAACCAATACTTCGCCAACTTATTTTTAACAGCTACATTATTCCTAGCAGCAACATGTCTGCCCAAGGGGAATTAGGTCCAACCTTTTTTGCCAAATCCCTAATGAACTTACCCTCTATTATCCCATTGCAGATACTGAAGTGATGCTTTTCAAAAAAGAAAAACTAGCTTGGAATCAGTGGCATTCAAGCCCTAACCCCTTACGTTTGTGGCAAAAACCAAGCCCTAATTGGAGATTATGGGTTCATTGCATGATGGTTTACGATATTGACCTTTGGAGAGCTTTTGGCATTTATGATGCCATTCGACTGTCAACATTAGCCCTAGATATGGACAAATGGGCTATTGGCGTTGCAGTTTGTTTTTGGTCTTTGTCCTATAACTCTCTCATTTTAAAGTTTGGTATGATCTCTCCCACCATTGTTGATATTATACATTTGACTGGCCTCCCTATTACTGGCCAACATATAAGTGCCCTTTTAACTGCTCAATCAGTAGTCCCACTTGACACCGATCTTAATTATGGAAAGTTCCAAACAAAATATCAACAATTATGTGGTGAACCCACCAAAAAAGAAAGGAGAACTTTTTACTTGTTGTGGCTCTCCCAACATTTTCTATGTGTCCTAGGTCTCAAAATTACCAAAGAGTATTTGGCCCTGGCAAATTGTATCCAAGAAGGCACACAATTGGCCTTTGCCCTTTTTCTTTTGGGCACATTATATAGGGGTCTTTTCTTTTTAGTCGATAAAGAGATAGATCATAATGGTGGAGGTCCTTTTTGGCTCTTTCAAGCTTGGCTCTATGCTTATTTCCTTGAAATTAAGCCTACCACTTAGACCCCTTACTTCTCTCCTTGCAAAAGTTATGCTGAATTCTTCTTATCTTTTTGACCAGCCTCATCCAATTCATTTACCAAGGTTTTTACTATTCTATTTATGCTACCTATCGATAGAGACCCTCAACTTTTCATCCCTTTCCATAACTTTCAGTTCACTTCCACTGGATTAACTTATATCCATGTTGTTCCTCAAACATTGAGGAACACTTGGAGGCAACAACAAAAAGACTTCTGGGCTCAAATTCTCACTCCCAAATACATTCTAGTAGGTGGATCTATCTCTACTAGCAGGCTTTCTAACTATAGCTTCGAAAGCTATAATCCCTGCCAGTGGGCCAGACAAATGGGACTATATCAAACTGTCCCTTGTCCATACTTACACTCTACCATCCATGAATAAGTTGAATCCAGGATTCAATTCAAAATCTCTCAAGAAGTAAAAGATCTGTTGGCTGAGAATCAAAAGTTATTTGATCAATTCAGCTTTTTCTACTACCAAATTACCCCCTTTACTACCACAAGGTTTAATGAATTGTGGTCTTTAATGAGTGCCTTGATCTTTGATAAAGATCTTCAAGCTTGTCTTTGGAATGTGCACCCAGACAACAGGAGAGGAGCAGAGATGACTATTAGTAATTCTACCACTTTTTCCTTTCTTTATGTATACTGCTTACTTTTTGAGTTTATTTAGCCATTTCTGCTCACTTATTCATATATATTTTATATATATGTAGCACAACCTCCTAGCAAGATTACCCTTCTGACTATAGAGATGCCTGCCCAGGCTAATCCAACTCCTAAGGACAAAGGCAAGGCTCCAATGAACCTCCTAAAGAAACCTAAAGGCAATCCTCTAAACACCATTAGCTGTGAGGGGTTCATACCTTATAACCAAGGTATAGAGATTGAGAGGAGGACCAAGAGTAGGCAATAAGAACACCAAGAACTTTTACCTTCTTAGTCTCAATTGGACGGTGGTGTTGTTCTTGAGAGGAGGTCAAAAAGAAGACAAGAACAATCAATTCCTCCTCAAGTCACAGCTCCTACTATACCAGCATCCTCTTCCTCTAGCAGTTCTTCTTCTCTTCCAATAAAGGTATAGCTTTCATTCAAAACTCTTACTGAGTCAATATGTATTATGTTTATCTATACTGACACCTTATTCTGCTCTTCTTCCCCTCTTTCAGCCATACTTTCAATCATACAAGAGGAGAAGGTTTCTTTCTCTAGCTACATCTCCTTCTGCTCATGATAAGATGCCTAAAACTCAAGCCACACTACCCTCTTCTATGCCTGAGAATGAAGAACAGTCTGAAGCCCAAACCAATCCCCCTTCTATGCTTAAAGACCAGACAAAAATGCCTTCTCCTCAAACAGACTCAGGGTATGTGAATCCCCAACTCATTCAAGAAGAACATATTGGCATTGGGAAAGAACAGGCTGACTCAGAAAGAGTTTACCCATAGAGAGTGCGCTTAAGAGGATTGGCCCCTGAATTGGCACACCTTATGGCTGATATTCCTCAAGGGATAGCCCTAGGGGATTTGTTGGCCTTTCCTCTTAGAGGAGTACGCCATGGAACCAATGAAATCATAAATTTTCCTGGTGAGGCCTCTTCCTCAGAGGAATTAGAAGCCCCTGGCCATGCCAGATAAACTATAATTGACTCAGGTTATGTCAGAGAAAACCCAATTGATTTAACTGACAATCTTGATAGCCAAACATCTTTTATCGACAAGAGTTCTCTTATTCATGAGCCTACTTCTGAACCAAATGATAACACTCATCAAAATAGCCAAATTCAACTATTTGATCAAAATGATGAAGTTGACAAGGCTGACACTGAAATCTTGGAGAGTGAATCACCTTCAGATGAAGAAAGAACTTCCCCTGAAGGGATTACCCGTCCTGTTAACCCAGAGGCTTTTACTACCATGGACATGGGGGTCCAAACCTCTCACATTCATAGTCCTATCCAGGAGCTAACTCTAGAGGCTGTGGTCACCGACACCAACACTTCTATTGCTCAAGAATCACTGGTAATCACCTAATCTTTTCACACACATTTTTTATTTTAAGTTGCACCAATCTATTGCTCAAGAATCACTGGTAATCACCTAATCTTTTCACACACATTTTTTATTTTAAGTTGCACCAATGATTAATTTTCACTTTCTTATTGCCACAACCTGCAATTGTATTTTCTTTTGGCCTGAGGTTTAACACTAAGAAACTGTTGCCAGTTTTTCCGTCGAAGGCAGAATAAAGCAACTGACTGGTGAAGATCAAAAATTGATGGACCAGTTCTTCAACTTGCTTGATCAATCTTTAGATGATCTAGCCCTTTTGCAAACCACAGTTCCAACTGAATGCCTAAAAGCCATTGCACCTCTAGTGCCTCAATTATTTGATCCAAACCAAGTGCAAGCCTTCCAGAACTTCCTTTTGGAACTTCCCCAACACTTGGCAGCTATCAATCAATTCTACTCTGAGCAAAAGACAACCGAAACTCAAGTGGACCAAATGAAAAAAGCAGTCACTGCTATGACTGAGGCCTCCACCGAATCACAAGCCCTCACCATCCAAATTGTTAACCTCACAATAGAAGAAAACCAACTAGAAGCTCAACTAGCACTTGTGAGAACTCAAAGAGCTACTACTGAACAAAGACAAACCACCATTTCTCAACAAATCCCAACTCGCTTAAGTAGAAGGTGGTCCACTTGCTATTAGGCAGGCCCAGACCAGACTCAGGCAAAATAAAATCAAGCACCAAACTGCCCTTCAAGCTTGGAGTAGACTTTCCATGTATTTTCAGAAAGATTTTGATCTGTACTTATTGAAATTGTACTTTTGGCTGGCATTTTAATGGAAAATCTATCATATTTTATTCAAGTTTGTCATATTTTACTCTAGCTTGTCATGCATGTCCCTTTCCATGTTTTCAGGGCTTATTCATACATTCTTACATAGTTGTATAATATTTCTTAAGATACTTGTCATTAATGACTCTCCTATGTGGCTCACATTTCATGGAAGCAAGGTGATAAGCCCTTCTTTAAGGACTTTATGTATTTTAAATGATCCTTCCCAGTTTGGAGACCATTTGCTATATTCTGGGCTTTTTAAGCCAATTGGTAAGATAGTTTCCACACCAACTCTCCTTCAGAAAACACCTTACATTTCACTTTCTTGTTGTAACTTCTCTCAACCTTCTTTTTCTGGACTATTAAGTGATTAAATGCCATAATCCTTTTTTCTTCTAAATCTTGCAACTCAATTGACATGGCTTCTGCATATTTATCCATAGGAATATTCAAATGCCTAGCCAGTCAATTGGATCTCACTATTACTTCTAAAGGCAACCCAGTATCATGCCCATACACCAACTCATATGGAGTTATTCTTGTGTTGTTTCTTTTTGAATTTCTATAAGCCCAAAGTACTTCTGATAGGAGGTTATGCCAATCCCTAGGATTGTCTTCAATCATCATTTCTAAAGTGTTTTTTACAATCTTGTTTGTTGCCTCAGCCTGCCCATTTGCCTGGGCATAATAGGGTGAGGAATTTAATATTTGAATGCCATATTCTGTGGCAAACCCTTTAATCTCATCCCCATTGAACATTGTGCCTGGATTAACAGTTATGAACTGGGGTAAACCAAACTTGTGAATTATATTCTTTTTTAAGAATCCAATGACTTGAGTCTGTGTTACCACTTTCAGAGGTACTGCTTCTACCCATTTAGTAAAATAACCAGTAGCTACTAGCAAATAAGAGTGTGCTTTTGAAGAGGTTGGGAAAATTTGCCCTATCAAGTCCATAGCCTATCCTCTGAATGACCAAGGTTTTACTATTGAATGAAGATTTATGGCTGGAACTCTTTGAATATTACCATGTTTCTGACAATTCTGACATCCTTTTGCATACATTATGCAATCTTTTCTGATAGAAGGCCAGAAATAACCATACATGTTAATAACCATCTCATTTTGTCACCAGCTTGATGGGCTCCACAAATTCCTTCATGTGCTTCAGTCATGGCCTTCATTTGGTCTAACTTGCCAATACAAAGCAAAGTCAGTCCATCATGGGCTTTCCTGAATAAATCTTCTCCCATTATTACATAATTTAGGGCTTGATATCTTATTTGCCTATCACTTTTTTCACTAGGATTTGACAGGTATTTAATTAGGGGGAGTCTCCAATCCTCCTCTGTTATATCCAACGTGAGAATGGGCAAAAAATTTCTTCATCTATCTCTAAGTGCAGAAAAACTTCTTCTTTTAATTCGAATCACCCTTTCCTGAGCTCCTTTAGGTATTTTTAGACTAGAAACTGCTTGAGCCATCTCATTGGCCTCTTTATTTTCTAGTCTATACCTGTGTGTAAAGGTAACATGGTTGAAGAAACTAATCAACCATTCGACCTCAGTTAGATACTCCTCTAGAACACCACTTACACACTTGAACTCTCCCAAAACTTGCTTAATGACCAACTGTGAATCTCCAAAAACTTGGAGGCTTTTAATTTTAAATTCTATGGCCAACTCTAGACCAATTATCAAAGCTTTATACTCAGCTTGATTGCAAGACTGAATATGTTGTGCTTCCAACTGATACGCAAATTGCTATATTTAACACCTGCACTAACTCCTTCATCTGTTTTTGAACCATCAAACATTAACTTCCAAGGTTCATTTTCCATCACATTGACCTCATACAGGTCTAAATCGACAGAGGAACAAGGATATTCTGTTAGAAAATCAGCCAAGGCTTGCCCATTAATCGCTTTTTATGGTACATATTTGAAACAATATTCGATTAAAGCTAGTATCCATTTGCCTTGTCTTCCTCTCAAGATAGGCTTGGACAACATATATTTAATCACATCTGTTTGTGCCACTACATACACCTTTGCAGGCAACATGTAATGCCTCAGTTTAATGGCTGCAAAATAAAGTGCCAAGCACATCTTTTCGACAGAGTTATACCTAGTCTCAGCATCATTTAGCCTTCTACTTAAGTAGTAAATGGCTTGCTCATGACCCATAGTATTTTCTTGAGCCAATAAACAACCAATCGATAGGTCAGAAGCAAAGATATACAACTTCAAAGGCTTTCTAATGTTCTGTCTAATCCAGGCATTTCTTCATAAGTCCATGCAAAGTAATCCACATATTCAGAAAGCAAACCAACTAGCTTGCTCTTACATTCATTAGATATATTAGCATTTACATAGATGGGCCTTTTACAGGCTTTACTCCCTTAGTTATATTCATCTAAAGGGTCCTGCACATCTGCCTTGAGGTCATCAAGTTTGGCAGGAGTAGCCTTCTGATATTCCAGTTGTATCTCTTTATAACTCAGAGGGCTACTGTCAATAACACATTCTGCCTAAGAACAATTGGGCATACACGTAGAGCCAAACTTACTTTCTAAGAAGAAATAAAAAAGCCTAGAAAAAGTAGATCTAATTACATTAGCTGTCTTATCCAGTTTGTCTTCTTTTGTCACTTGTACTTGCATTACTCTTCATCCTCAACAACCTCTTCTATAACGAGCCTTTTCTGCTTCTGTATCAGGCTTGGCTTAGCCAAGAAGAAACTAATCAACCATTCGACCTCAGTTAGATACTCCTCTAGAACACCACTTACACACTTGAACTCTCCCAAAACTTGCTTAATGACCAACTGTGAATCTCCAAAAACTTGGAGGCTTTTAATTTTGAATTCTATGGCCAACTCTAGACCAATTATCAAAGCTTTATACTCAACTTGATTGCAAGACTGAATATGTTGTGCTTCCAACTGATACGCAAATTGCTATATTTAACACCTGCACTAACTCCTTCATCTGTTTTTGAACCATCAAACATTAACTTCCAAGGTTCATTTTCCATCACATTGACCTCATACAGGTCTAAATCGACAGAAGAACAAGGATATTTTGTTAGAAAATCAGCCAAGGCTTGCCCATTAATCGCTTTTTATGGTACATATTTGAAACAATATTCAATTAAAGCTAGTATCCATTTGCCTTGTCTTCCTCTCAAGATAGGCTTGGACAACATATATTTAATCACATCTGTTTGTGCCACTACATACACTTCTGCAGGCAACATGTAATGCCTTAGTTTAATGGCTGCAAAATAAAGAGCCAAGCACATCTTTTCGATAGAGTTATACCTAGTCTTAGCATCATTTAGTCTTCTACTTAAATAGTAAATGGCTTGTTCATGACCCATAGTATTTTCTTGAGCCAATAAACAACCAATCGATAGGTCAGAAGCAAAGATATACAACTTCAAAGGCTTTCTAATGTTCTGTCTAATCCAGGCATTTCTTCATAAGTCCATGCAAAGTAATCCACATATTCAGAAAGCAAACCAACTAGCTTGCTCTTACATTCATTAGATATATTAGCATTTACATAGATGGGCCTTTTACAGGCTTTACTCCCTTAGTTATATTCATCTAAAGGGTCCTGCACATCTGCCTTGAGGTCATCAAGTTTGGCAGGAGTAGCCTTCTGATATTCCAGTTGTATCTCTTTATAACTCAGAGGGCTACTGTCAATAACACATTCTGCCTAAGAACAATTGGGCATACACGTAGAGCCAAACTTACTTTCTAAGAAGAAATAAAAAAGCCTAGAAAAAGTAGATCTAATTACATTAGCTGTCTTATCCAGTTTGTCTTCTTTTGTCACTTGTACTTGCATTACTCTTCATCCTCAACAACCTCTTCTATAACGAGCCTTTTCTGCTTCTGTATCAGGCTTGGCTTAGCCAATTCTTGGCCTATCTGCTTAAAACCTTCTTCAATGAAGGCCTTGAATTCTTCACTTGTCAAACTCTTTCCCTAAGACTTAACCTCTTCTTCATCAATTACAATTGGACCCAAATCCTCATCATACAACACAACTTCTATGTTATTAACATCTACAACAAAGGGATTTGCATCTGCCTAGTAAACTTCCATCCTTCCTTTACTACCACTAGTTAAAAAAATCAATGCCTAGTGCAAAGAAGATGGTACACAACTATTAAGGTGTATCCAATCTCTACCTAGTAGCACATTGTAGTTTGAAATGGAGTCCATTACAAAGAAAGTTGTTCCCATTGACCTGGAACCAACCTGAAGTTGTAAAGCCACCACTTCTCTGGCCTCAGATGATCCACCAGCAAAATTACTTATGTTCACATCAGTAAGGAGCAAGTCATCAACAGATTTCCCAATAGCTTTTAATATCATAGAAGGAAGAATGTTTGCAATGGCTCCATTATCAATCAAAACCCTTTCTATTGGGACCCCCTCTAAATAAGCTCTGACATATAAAGGCCTTAGATGCCTGATGAGCTTATCCTCTGGTTTTTTCAGCACAACTTTCTCCATCGATAGACCTAACTCCCCTAATTGACTTTAGTGATTTGGTTTGTGTCTCAACCACTGCTAACTGAACTGCTAGTTCAGTCAGATCTTCAACATCTCCTGCCAATTCATCTGGCTGGTTTGGCCTAGCCTGAAATTTATGAGGGATGGCCATAATCATGTTACACTCCTTGGATGGAGGTAAAGAACCAAAATGAATAGCAGTTAATTTTTCTCCAAAGTCACCATCAAAGCTATCTATCTTGACTTCATCTTCCTTAACCTCCTCATTAATATTCATGTTATCAGTGGCCATTTTCTGATCCTGATCATCCTTTATTGCTACATTTTTCTCAATATTGTCATCTTTATCAGACATTAGATCTTTCTTTAATTCTTTCAACTTCTGCCTCAACAAAGCCTTCTCAGAGAGTTTCCCAACAGGTCTATCATCTGCCTTTTTGGGCTCCATTTTCCTTTTCAAAGCTGAATTAGCTGAACTGGATGGGCTCTAGAAGTTAACCCTTCCCTTCCTTCCCTACTGATCCAGCAGTAAGAACCAATCCATCTCTAGTCCATACTAGATCCTGCCTTCCAATTGGCTTATCACTTGCAACTGTAGACATCATAGCATGGAATCTCCTTTATTCTCTCCTTTTCTGAGTTCTTGTTTCTCCCATTTGCCTCCAACCACTCGTTGGGAACTTTGGGTGAGAAACCCCTTGCCATCCTAGACAAGATGGTACTGGTGGCTTCACCATCCTTGGTTGAACTGGATGTATTTTTGGCCTTATTCTTGGGCCATGATGTTGCTGTTGAAATCCTCTAAATGGTCTTACAAACTATTGTTGCCCTCTATATGGCCTTACAAACTGTTGATGACCACTATATGACAAACCAGACTGTTGTTGTTGTCCACTTTATGGCCTGGTCACAACCTTTGGACTTCCATAGGATTTAGCTCCCTTGCATTGCTTGAGCATAGTCTTGACATTGCTTGATCCACTAAAACATGGATGAACAGGAGCTCATTGGAATAAAAATGGAGCATCATCCTTGCCATAGTTCTCTGCGGGACCAAATATTCCTGGATCTATCCCATCATAGAACATACAATCATTATCAAAAATTTGCAAATCACCACTACCCATAGTGTTAAACCTCAGGCCAACATCTTTTCCAATTTTTTGAATTCCATTAATCACAACAGCCTTAGCCTTTTCTTTGTCAGTACCACACTTGAAACAAATAAACCTCTCACTAGGTTTTTCCTGAACTTATTTCCCTTTTGTTTCCTTTGCCATTTTTTCCATTCTCTCATTGTGAAGTTTTTCTAACTCTACCAAGAGAACTCTAGGGTCTTTTTCCTTTTTCTTTTGACCATTTGACTAAAAATCAGTTGATACCATATTAATTTCCACCATATTGCGAAATAAATCACCATCAACTGCCATGACCCCTTTATCTTTTTCAGCATACTTCAACATTTCCTTCTGAATCAAATCCTGCACACAATTGCGAAATGTAACATAATTATTAGTGGAATGCCTAAAAGAATTATGTCACTTGCAATACTCTTTGCCAACCCTATCCCTTTCTTTGGGAATGTTGTGGCTTGGAGTCAAAGTTAAAAATTTATTAGCTAATAATTCATCAAATAGTGCATCTGCTTTTGATAAATCAAAAGAATACTGCCTATGTGATACAATCACATTCTTTTTGGCTGGCTGTATTGCTGGCATACTTAC